AGCGCTTCTCCCGCTCCGCCTCTCGCACGCCGCACTGTAGGCACCGAAAAGGCCAACGTTCCCACCGACTTCCCAGGCAGAACAGCTTGGGCGGGCGGTCACTCCGCAGTTACTGCGGGGGTCTTCCCCTCGGAAGCCCAGTCTCGAACACCTCCCCACGCCTGCGGGGCTGGTGGCGCCGGGGCAGTCGGGTGCGTTCGCCTCGGGCAGTACCCGCAACGCTGAAACGAGGTTTTCTTTATAACATAGGCTATATCTATGTTTCTCAAATGCTTAAATAACCTAAGCATATTTGTTTCAATCGAATATGTTTTCAGAAAGCCTTTCCCACCCTTCTGGGAAAGTCTGTTTTATTCAGACAGGCCTAGAAGGGTACGTTGCTTTAAAGCACGAGTTTCGTTCATGGCCTGGTCTGTTTTCTGTAGTACCACACATCTGTACGGTAAAGCTAACTTTCAGAATTCACACGGGTACAAGCCTCTGAAAAGGCTAAAATTCTTTATTCCCGTTTTCCTTCCATGAGCTCTGGTGTCAAGTTAGAAGTAACACCAGCCAAAGAAGCCGGTACTGTACCAAATCCCCAACAGGGACAGAACACGCATTTCGACAGCCCTCGGCGCGACCCGTCTCTGCCAATAAAATCTAAAGTATATTTCAAAGTTGGCTAAGTTGATGTGAATGCCAGTCACTAAATCTGCCCTCGCACAACATTCAAGATCCATCAGGGCTATGTGTTCCTCACCCCCACATTCCTTCCCTAGTTTACCATGCCCAATAAAATGTTCAGCTATTAACAGATTACATCAAAAGGCAAAAATGTTCATAACAGTCTTTCTACCACACTCTACCGCATCTCTGTCCTCCCACGTATGCATATAAGTAAAGACAGGCACATATCACCCATCTTCTTGCATTTTACCACCTTCCAATCTTTTAAAGGGAAAACCCCAATCACACTATTTTTTTGCTAACGTAAGCCCTGTTCCCTGAGGAGGAATTTAGTAAAAATGATTAAATGTATAGATAGCATTGATACTTTTCATCAAATGACTGTAGTTACAATAATGTATCAGCCTGTAAAGACATTTCAATTCCTGGCAAATTCCTTCTGGTATACAGTCGTATACACTCACATGAAATAGTATTTACAAGCGGGGGGGTGGGGTAGGGGGTGGATTAAAAAAAAAATATTGAGAGTATCCATAACTTAACAACATTTCACACACTTATTTGTGACATACGTGTCCATGTGTCACAATTTCTGTTACAATTAAGTCACAGATGCTGTGTATTTGTGGGAGTACAGTGACCCAGAAGTATAGTGGCACAAACAAGATGTACCCAAAATAACATTTCTCATACACAGAAAATGACTTAGTTGCAAATATTTTCACTGGAGCAAAAGAAGGAAGAAAAGAAAGAATATTAGCAGTGGTCCCTTGCTTTATTCTCCTCTATAGTTCAACTAACCTAAAAGACAGCCAAGGAAACATACAGTCCAGGGACAGGACTGAGCAATGTATTACTCCACTAATACCAGCAAGTTTATAAATTGGGGTAACAAAACACTTGACCACAAACTTCTCTACATCCATCAACAAACATTTCAGAATGGAAATGCACTGTTTCCCAAACCTCTTATTTCCATCTGTTACTGAAAGAGGACTGACAGCTTTGCATTAAACTACTTCTGTACCAGTTCCTAGATGGTATAAACAGTCCAAAAGTGATGTAAAAATGCAACATCACAATTGCTACCCATCATCGCTATCACACTAATAGTAGCCCCACTGGTTATATAGTGCTTTTCACTGCACTGATGTTAAACCAGGTTACGGGGGAGGAAACCTCCCTCTTCTCCTGGATGAAAAGAGAGGTATGGAAGCGTGGAGGTACTCAGAACCACCTCGTCTTTGAAACCAAGCTACTTCTACAGCATTATTGATTGGAATAATGATTACTTAGTGAACACGTAAAGCAAAAGTTCTTGTGTGAAGTGTCAAATAACTGCAGTTATTTCCACAGAGAATGGAAATATATGTTTTGCTGTCATCCTAGTCACACAAAACATAGCAATTTTCTGGTGAAAAATTCGTTTTCTTTTAAAATAGTAGCCATTCAGAACTTCACAGCTAGTTTGGTTTTTCTGCATAAAGTTGCTGGTGTTCATATATGTGTGTATATATACACACACACAGATCCTGGTTTAGAATTCAACCTTCTCCTTTCAGTACTGGCTTAAAAAACAGTTATCTCCATCAGCGGAAAAAAAAAGAAAAAGAAAGAAGTGCCCAAGCTAGCCCACAGCAGATACAGCAAAAAGGCAGTAGGTTTCAGGGCAGCCACCTTATTGGTTTCCTCCCGTTTAGCTCCAGCAGTCCATGGCATTGCAGTCCATTGCTTCTCCTTCGCAGGCAGCGTTTTCACTTGGAAAATGTGGTCTCCTTTTTTCTATTTGGTTTTCATTTTATAAAACCAGTGTAAATCGACAAGCAATGAGACAGACACACACTATACATAAACTTAAAACCATCTGAAAGTGACAGAACACACTACATGAACAAAAAAAATAAAACAAAACCCAGAGATAAAAGAACTTGGAGGAGCCTCAACTTCAACACAAAGAAATCAACACAGAAAATACACGCAACCTCATAATAAAAATTAAGTTACACTTTTACATAAATGTCTATTTTTACCAAAAACGTACTCACAGCTATTAAATGAACCAATACATTGTGGACATTTGAAAATTTGACCAACATTTGTACCTATGCATATATCACTATGCGTAGAAATATTAAGGTACTACTCAGAAATTTGAGGAATAGTTTCTTGGCAGTAATCATAAATTAACAAAATAGTCATTAAAGAAGTGATCCATACAGTCAGTGACTGTATTCTCTGTATGCACATACTCAAAAGTTCAGATTGCTTAAGTATCTTATTGAAATAATGCCCTAATAACAAAAATAATTTGGTAGCATCAAGCAAGCTGAATTCAAAGTTCAGCTCTCTGGGGACTGAAGAGAATACTTAGGAATGCAATGTGATAGGACAACAATACATTTAGGAGGGAAGGGTAGGAACAATGGTGAAAGGATAACAACAGAAGATAAACAGATTGCTTTCGAAGACTGATTTGCTCTTCTACTTTATGAAAGAAGCAATAAATAACTCCCTATAAAACTATAGGTTTCACAACAGCAAGAGAAATTTATTTGGGTAGTTTTCTTGCCACAAGTGTTCAGGATGATATTTGTAGAAGCTCGTTTTCCAAACTGCTGTTTTAAGGTTCAAGAAGGGGGTACAGAGAAAAAGTAGATAAATTCATTTTACAGACTTTTGGAGGTTAAGGTGAGAAAATTTTAAGAACTACATTAAATATGTTCCCAAGAAGTCAACACTAAATTAACTGATCATGCAAGGTCCTTCTGAAACAACACACAGGGTATGTGCATTTATGCACAAGCTGTCTATGAAGAGTTAAAGAGGAGAACTTCTACTGTCACTGAAAAGTTATCTCCATCAATCTGGGTAAATCAGAGTGAAATTTAAGCTGTCCTTAACACACAGGAAAATACTGCCATCGCCTCCATTTTCTCCTAGTGATTCTAATTCAGTTGTTCTTGTAGAAGAATAAAATTCCACACGTTATTTAAAGTCAACTCCAATGGTAAGTGGTAAAAAGTTAATGTATACTTAGTATAAACAAATACTACATTAGCTAAATAAAGTATTAATCTAAAGGACAAACTGCATTTACTGTATTATATACAGGGTTGTACGGAAATGCATGCGGACAAGCGTCTGCAGTGACATACCCCTTGTGTCTGTAGGGACAGAGGTGTGATACGCCGCTTTTCCCACTCATTTGGGCGTGGTTCAGGTGTGGATTCCATGAAATTGCGCTTGAGCTCACTAATGCTAGCCTGGTGTTTCAGTAAGTCGTCCTGGGTCTTATCCAGGTCCTAGCAACCCACAACATGAAACAAAGTAGGACAAAACACGACAACAAAAGCAAACTTAACTGGAAAAAAAAAAAAAAAAAGAAAGAAACCAAACCAAGGAAAGTGCCTTGTGTCTGAAGGGCTATACTTCTCTGGAGTGCCTTAAAATAAAAAAGTGTAAGGCTATACGGGAACCAAGATTTTTTGGTTTTGTTTTTGTAATGAAGGGCCACACATACACTGTTTCTTCCGTATTTTAAGGCAAAGGAAAAATAATGCTGTGCATGGTTATTTAACAGAGGGCTATTTTAATCCAAAATATGAAATTACTAGCCCTTTGAAACAATAATATTTTCCAGTAGTTGCTTGCTTTCATCTAAAATTTGTAAGCACAGAAGTAAACATTTTGGGATATTGCACAACTAACTACTGAAGGTAGCTGTAAGAAAGCATAGTCTACCCAAGAAGCATTATAAAAATGCATCTTTCTTGATATTACAAGCTCCATGAAAAATACTTACTTCTGTGAAGACAATACTACAGGGCCAAATGTGCAAGCCACTAACACCCACTTAACTTCAGGGAGACTACTCATTGTGCCTGTCATGTAGGCTTAAACTTACTGGAAGAATCAGATTTAAAGACTTGAAGCCTCACATCTGCCAATTCTGCATCTAAGAACCTGACAGCAGACACAGCACTCAAGTAGGGATAGTTTTTCTGCACATCCATAGCAAAGAGATGTTCTCTCTAAATTGGACCTACATCAGCAAGAGCCAAAGGGGACACCATAGCATGAATATCAAATTAGATTTTATCATGACCTATTGAGGCTAAGCTGCAGCACTGTGGATCAAGTAACTACAAGGTAGTCTTTCACTGATACCAGATACAGGAGCAGGCATAAGGATCAGGAGGTATGCAGAAACATAATTGTTGTGGTAAGTAGGCAAAAATCAAACTGTTTAGCGCTCTTGGAAATTGATTATCCTTTAAACACAATGCTGGGCTTTGGTGGGAAGAGCAGATTTCACTCTGGTTTCATAATCTGTCCTCCTTCCAGCATGCCAGGTCTTGAGAAAAGCCTATGCTGGTTACACACACAGTAACACAAGAATATTTTTTCAGTATTCTTTGGTGAAATTCAAGTTTAAGCCTCAGATCCATTTTTAGTACAGAATTAAAAGACTGAAGTTTAAAATGGAATAATATCAATGTAGACATAATTATTAAGGAAGTTTTATCAAAATAATATAATCACACAATAATTGAGGTAAAGCATCTGGTTTTTTACAAATATTTTATATACTTTGTAACAGAACATTTTGAAATTTTACTTTAACATTTTGCTTAGGATTTTTACAGTCAGTGCTCACAATGCAAAGAGACGCCTCATCTTCAGTCATGAAAAATCCAAACCCAATACAAGCTAATTAGTTTCTAATTTCTTTTGACTTGCATGTTCAGCACGTACATTCACTACATGCTACATTCAGTAGCAGTTCTATGCTGCACGTCTGTTTCATAATTCTGCGGATATTCACACATGCACTTTGAGCTCTAAGAACCTTGCCCCTCCTGGCAACCCAGTAGGTTCATATTGTCACAGGACCACTGCTTCACTTTTAATCTAGGACTAACAAACGAGACATTAAATATGTCCCCCTAAAGCATGTATTTTCTGAGTGAAGTAAAACCTTATGCCAGAGGCATTCTGTTACACAACTGAAGCTTGTAACATTCATGTCATTATTTTAAAACCTGTCTTGGCTTGACACAAGGCACATTTCTTGGACATGATCAAAGCACGGTTATGCAATGCACGCTTTCAGTGCTTTAGTAAGTTATACACAAGCAAAGTTTCAATGGTGATCAAAAGCTGCAAAAAGCCAAAAAACTTATTAGTTGGGTTACTACAATCCATACATCTCCTTATTACTGAGCAAACCCAATGATTTCTAAAAAGACAGGCTTTGTGACAAAGGGAATGATTTATAGCCCCATCTGGATGAATAAAGTAAATTAAAGACAGCAGTAGGATTGTCTAAAATTTCTTCAGTTAGTAGCTTCTGCTCTTGACCACAAGCTAAATGACACTGATTATATCTACAGGTAGTCTTTGATAAAATAATCCAGATTAACAGACTATATGGAAATTCTTACAAGAAAAATCTCTAATTCAGTGCAAAGCACTACACATTAACATACTGTTCAAAGGTCTTTGTTGTTGCTCATCTTCAATGAAAAACAACATCTAGGAAGCAAGAATTACTTCCATTTGAAAAGTGAAAAAATAAGGCAAAGATTTCAGAAGCATATCTAAAGATTCCCTTCAAAAATCTGATTCTCACATACATTTCTCAAAGCTCCTAAAATCAACAAGTATCAGAACCAGAATTAGTTTTTCCATACTTCTATCACTGCTTGTGCCTTCCTAACTCAGTTTATTCAAGTAATGTATTTGATAAAGGCTGATTAAACTGGTGAAAACTAGAAATCCTGCTCAACAGGAGATGCACACATTGATAGGCAACGTATAAAAACCCTGTTTAGGATTATGAGTTGGACCCATGTGTTTGCTTTATCTAAATAGGGCTATTCCCACTTGCCACCTTGAAAATATCTAGCAAAAATACACAAAATATACATTCAACATTCAAGCTGAGGGTTTTTTTTATTTGTTTGGATTTTTTTGGTGGGTTTTTTTGTTTGTTTGTTTGTTTGTTTTTTAATTTAAACTCTGAAAACAGAATTAAAACATGCAACATTTCCAAGCTGGTTTTCCCCCATGCACTTCATGCACTATGTCCATAACAGCCTGCAAGTGACTTCCCATCCCATGCAGCCTGGCAGCCCGTGAGAAAGGAAAGTGTTTCTTATACTATATACAAACCTCCAACATTAAATTGCTATGTCTGACATAAATATTTTCCCCGTCTACTCTCAAGGAATTGCTCTGTGAAATTAAGCCACACACACAAAAAAAAAAAAAAAAATCAAAAAAAAAATCAAAATGAACATAAAAATGTACCAGCAAGTAAATAAAAAACACCCTTAGAATCAGACAGTAAATAAAGGATATACAGTGGTAAGGTGAAAAGGCACTATTCAGATTAAATCCACAGAAAGTTTAGGGTGCTAACAAGGCAGGCAGCTACAGCCAGATTTAATTGTAAAAAAACAACCATGCACCTTCTGCTGTGCTTCCTCGTCTTCAGATTCCACCTATGTGAGCATGTGGCAAATTACCAAGAGAAGGAATTGTTAACATATGCTTGCAGAATAACACAGAGGCTTCATCTCTTTGTAAATGCAGCAAAGCGTGCTATATTTACAGACCTTCACTGTTTCGGCCCCAGATGCTGTTGAAATTATTAAGCGACTTTCGTCTTCCTTCACCTACATTGTTGTAGAATGGCTGAAGTAACATTTGGCATAAATGGCATGAAAAATGGAAGTTTCACACTATGTCCCTTTCTTGCTGCGCTTTTCCGTGTTTTCCCAGATGGAAATTTAAGAATGAGTAAAGAAAAAATGATATGCATAATTTCTATGGTAAGTGCTTTAAACTCTGCAACAAATTAATGGGAAAATAGAATCTAATGCATGAGTTCTTTTGGTAAGAGAGTCCAGCATTCAAGTCAAACACCTAAATATTGTATTTACAAACCATCTTAATTATTTTAAGAATGTTGCTGTCCTGGGATGAGTTATCTGCACCCCACTCTCCTTTTTAGGCGAACATAGTCTTCCTCAAATGGCAATGCACTCTGTTGGAAATGACAGCTCATCTTCCTATCTTACCTACAAATATTCTCAAGGTTTTAAGGGACAGCGTTCTTTAAAAAGCAGACCGCTTCCCAGTCTTTCCACAGGTACAAGTATCAACTGCTAATCTTAGGAAAAGATGCATTTTAGAAATCAACACTGTGCAAGTGCATAAATTTGAAGAGGGGTTTACTTACTGCACATACTGTTGCATTTTGGATTCTGTTTGAATGCACATATAATGTGGTACATATCACATTTTTATTAATTTCTCCCTGATCCGGGGTTCTATTTTCTGAAACTTTACATTATAAATGATAGATTGAATTAGGTTACAGAAAAATTGAGAAAGTCTTTAAAGTCATGTTTTTCATTATTTTAAACTTAGATTGGTGTTTTTAATGACATCTTGTCCTATTTAGCATGTCTTTAATGTGTACATTGTATTGATTTAATCAGTTTAACAAATGTTGTTATATGTAACACTGAGCAGGCCCTCCCTCTTTTTGATTCTATAATATTTGGTTTAATATTTCATTTGAAGATCAAAATAAACCACCTTTTTCTAGTGGCATTGCTGTAACAGCCACAGCAGACATAAGGAAAGGAGGCATTTTGTCAACCAGTCCAGATGATCAGAGCAACGTATTAGTGTAACTGAGGCTTCTGTACACCAATTTTAATACTGTGTTTCAAAAAATGTTCAGACTCCAGTGATTAAAGTCTGACACAACCTGCAATGCCAGCTAATGAACAAAATCAGTCTCCACCTTAACTACTGCTAGAGCTTAAAGAAAGCCCTTAAAAAAAAAAAAAAAAAAAGAAACAGCAGTGCCTTGGACAGACTCAACTTTGCACACACCCTTGTAGAACAGAAATCTGGAATAACAAAAAAGCTGATTTTAAAGCATTCCCAGTTTTCTGAATTCAGCTTTTAGGAATTTCACTTTTCAGATCTAAACAGGACTTTGGAGATGCGCATTCCAGTCAATGCATGCAGGAGACATGCATTTTAACACGAACTCATAGTGCAAGTAGCACAACTTGCAAATAGTATCAAGTAATAATACATCTATTATTACATAGCACTCTCAGTATTTAGATTTATGTGCTCGTAAACATTTTGAACTACAAAGCAACTCTACCTGCAGCTCAGTATCTGTGGAATCTAATGAAATTACGCATGCTGTCGGAATTCAGGCAGAAAAACCACCAGCTGTCCAATGACTAAAAATCCCCCAAGAGCAATTTTTCACAGATGAGAAAATTTAGAAACATACAGATATATCATGTGTGTGTATTTTTATATATATATATACAGGCATGTACTTAGACGTATCCCTATACTAGGAAGTGTGCAAAATTGAGCAAGCCTCTGGGAGAACAAGCATAAAAGCTATGTGCAACTGTCAACGTTTAAGCAACAAAATTACACACCTCCTCTTCCTCTGCTTTGTCATTCAGGTCATTTTCATTACAGGCACTAAAGCAAGGCACCTTAGGCTCCAGGTAGCAGAGGGACAGAGCAAGAGGAAGGGAAAATGTGAGTGAAAAAGGAATAGACTGGAAAGCTGACAGAAGAAGCATGAAGATAAGGAGAAAAGAGGGGATGAAGGAAGGAGAGGTGATAGGGATATAGTGCTGAAGGCCAGGTGGGAGGAAAGAGATGCAAACATCAGGAAGGCTAGGAAAAGTAATATAACCATCCTTATCAAGCAGCGAACGGAAACTAAAAGAGAAGCATCTGCTAAAGCTGAATGAGACACACAACTTGGTGCTTCTGTAGTCATTTGTATGGACTTTTCCCTCCACAGCAGGGAAGCCTTGACTAGCTAGGGGTCTCAGAGATTCAATTATATTGTTCTGTGAAGCTATTTCATTTTTATTATGATCTGGTGTTTCTTTCATGGAATTGCACTCTGAGATGTCTGGGATGGTAAGGAGGGGCTCCCCAAAGGGATCTTCCTCTGAAATGTCTGAAAGCATGTCCATCTCAGGGACAGGTGACAGGTTTGTGAGATGGGATGACACAGAATGGATGGGCAGTGATGATGGGTGTACGGCAGTGAACTGAAGAAAAATATTCTGTGCACAGTGGAAGATGAAAGCACAACAAAATGCAAGTTTGAAGGCATAAGAGGGAAAAAAAGAAATCATTAGTTAGTGAAAGTTTTTACTTAGAAGCAGGGATAGCTCTACTAATGCAATAGAAATGCCAAATAAAAATAGACATCCCCTAGTGTTTTACAAGCAGCCAATTTGTTTACTTCTGTGGATTATGAAACTGAACCCATTATGAATGTTTTGTTCTCAGGCTGTAAAGAACTGCGCACTTTTGAACTGTAATAGTCACAACAGATGGAAGCAGACTGACATTCAAAGCTTTGGCAGAAAGGTCAGGGGACAGTGCAGTACACGAAAGACAAGCTGGCACTTTGATTCTTGGGTTTATAACCATTTCCTCTACGACTTAAAAGAGAGCCAGAAAGGAAAAGAAGTATCTGCGCTGGAGGGGGAAAAGCAAGCTGTTCACCGAATTGGCATGTGTAACAAAACCTTACTGAACAGCTTCCTGGAACAGCTTCCCAAAATACTGCTATTTTTTTTCTTCTTCTTTTGGTTAAAATATTGAAAGATACTGCCACTTTGAAAACAAGGGAGTATCACCATTTTATCAGGCCCAAAGTCAAAACACAGGAATTTATTTTACCATTTTTCTTCCATAAAGAAACTCTGTTTGTGCTATTTCTAATTCGAAATTATTTCAACTTGCCAACAAACAAAAAAAATTGCAGTTGTTGGTATATATTCCCCTCCTACACTTGAATGCAGTGGGAACATGTGAACCACACAGAAAAACCCAGCAGTCTCCCTAGGAATCAAATAGATAGTTAACTTGCAAAAATGTTTGAAAACAAAATTACTCTTTAAATATGAAAAAAAGCTCTGACAAACTGCCAAAATAAGAAATGATCTCCAAGAGAGAAGAGCAGCCGATTTTAGCTGACACTTCAGAAAGAAATTTTTACATCAAATCATACAAGATCTAAATTTAGGTTTTTGACCTATTCCCCCAGCAGCTCAAAAAAAACCAAGAGAAATAAATGGTTGTTTGCAAGAGAAACAGACCAAAGTACTCTACTTTTCACAGAAATCTACGCCTCAGTCAGCATACAAGTTTTAAAGGATGAAACAACTATGCAATGGCTACTAAAACAATATTGTTACCGGTAGTAAACACAGTCATAATATACTCAACTTCGTCAAATGTACACAGCTGGATATACTAACTTTTTTTTTTTTTTAAGTCTGAACAAACTAAGGTAATGAGTAAAACATTATTTACCCATTGAAACATTTTTTTCAAGAACTCAGGCAAGCTTACTGAGTATTCAAATTAAATATATAGCAGTAAAAGAAACCATCAACGCCATTCAGAAGTTTGTATTCTCTTTTGCTTACATACATTTACATTAAGTTAAAGCTACAGCAAGCACTTTACAGTTTTCCTTTAATATTTTAATATAGTGTTCTGTATGATGCTGAGAAGTGATAGGCACTAAATAACCAGAAATGGACACACACCATGTGAACAAATAATTTTAGTGTGAAAGTCAGCCATACCTTTCCATCCTGAGTCAATTCTAATTGCGGAGTTTTGACTGGGCTTCCATCTTCTTCTCCGCCACCTTCTTTTAACTTGGCCTGACCAGCAGCTTCAATGTCAATGATTTTATCTACAGCAAGCTGCCCTCCAGTAGCAGGGAAGCCTCTTAGCAGACTTTGGTCTGAGATACCCATGGGAGCTATTAGAGAACACAATAATTTTGCTTAATTGGGGTAAGTTGGAATATTTTGTTTTTAACACTTCTTAACAAAATGATTTTATAGCAAAGATGTCAGCAATGAGCAATACCAGCTAGCTAACGAGTGATACAATATTTTTCAGCTTCTTGGCTTTGCAAAAAGTCTACGGTTCTCATTGCACTGATATGAACAGCAATGTAGCCTTGTCATATAATGTGCAATTACTATGCATGGGGAAAAAACACCTCACAATATCAGGTAGGTATTTAATTATCAAGTTTCTTATTAGTCTTGGAAGGCAAAGTGAAGGTACTGTTCTTGTGACTGTGTAAATCACCATAACAAAAGAAAGAAATATGCAACAGTGTTCTGTGGAAATTCACTATTTTGAGAGGACTGTTTTAATGCAATATAGAAATAGCAATGCGTATAACTGTCACAGTATTTTTATTCTGTAACCTTAGCAAAATTGGTGCTGCAGAAACAACAGCTCAGTGAAAGTAAGACTTTTCCTCCCTATATGCTTGCGAAAAATGGAAGGGAGAAATACTGAATATGTATACTTGAATACAGTCAAAGCACAAGAGAGTGAAAGGCCTTAAATTATTTTTTTCTCTTATTTGATTCAGCATAATAGGATTAATGAGCAGGATGGTGTTTTTTATTTGGGATGACTGGCTCAGTCAGAATAGTAGTAACGAAATACAGGAAAATAAATTAAGTAGCTTTAATAAACACAACTGACATAAAAAATTAATTAATTTAGAAATCTTCTGTACTACCTCAGTATGCTTGACTTCACAAAGCCAAAGTGGAGAAAGTTGAGAGGAAGAGGCATTTCTTGGAGTACCTTTGAGGGATATCCTCTTTTGGAAACAGTCTCAGCTCCACATCAGAGACTCCCTTAAGCTGTTGAGAAGTCAAGGCCACATGTGGGATCTGGGATGTTGGGCTTTCAGGGCCTCTCTAAGTAGTAAGTTCTGTAACTTAAGCTTCTGATCCCTTTTTGGGTGGCAAATAGAGCATTTCCTGGGTATATACCCCTCACGTTCCACAAGTAACTTTTGACTAATTAAAAAATAATTTAGGTTGGTAGGAGCATCTGGAGGTTAGCTAGTCCAACCCCCTGCTCTGAGCAGGTCCAATTAGACCAGGTTGCTCAGGGACTTGGCCAGTTGAGTTTTGAGCATACCCAAGGTCTTTTTAAATTTAAAAAAAAAAAAAAAAAAAAAAAAAAAAATCTTATTTCTAACTGAAATTTTTCTATGTCTTTTTGTGAATACCCAAAGTATTTTTAAATTTAAAAAAAAAAAAAAAAAAAAAAAAAAAAATCTTATTTCTAACTGAAATTTTTCTATGTCTGAACTTATAGGCACTCCTCATTGCCTTATGATTGGGCACCTTTGAGAAGAGCGTGGCTCTGTCTTCTCTGTACCTTCCCTGTAGGTAGCTGTATACAGACAGCCTTGTCTTCTTAAAGCTGAAGGACCACAGTTCCCTCAGCCTATCCTCATCATGTGCTCCCAGCCCTCTGGCCAGCTTGGTGGCCCTTACTGGGCTCACTGCAATATGTCAATGCCCACCATATACTGGGGAGTCCAAAGAGGGTCACAGTACTCCAGATATGGTCTTGACAAAGTATTGAATAGAGAGGAATAATAATTTCTTCTAATATGCTGGCTATGCTCTTGTTAATACAGCCCAGGACACAGCAGACGTTCTTTGCTGTAAGGGCACACTGTTGACTCATGCTCAGCTTGTCCAGTGGGAGTCCCCAGATCCTTTTCTGCAGAGCTGCTTCCAGTGCAGTCAGTCCTGCCCAGCATGTACTGGTATATGGTGTTACTCCACCTCAGGTGCAGCACTTTGCATTTATTTTTATTGAATTTCATAAGGTTCCTTTCAGCCCATTTCTCCAGTATGCTCTGGTCCCTCTAATGAGGGCAAGGTGGGGGGGTGGAGCAAGAGTAACCTTACAAGGAAGGGTACGCAGCGCTGGGTATTTGGGAGGAACAGTGGCACTAGGCATGCTGCTCACAAAGGAGAGACAGAGTGCAAGCGCACCCTCCACAGAATTTCTCATATCAAGTGTATACTCATAGTATGAACCTACATCCAGACTACTGCCTGAAGAAAGCACAATATTTGACTTTGAATTAACACAGTTTAAAACTGTTGCAGCCTGCAGATGGCAACACCAGCATGATGCCTTAAATGCTGCCAGGAATAGCTGGTTTCATTTGAGATGAAATCAAAGATGATTAAGGAGGGGAAAAAAAAAAAAAAAAGGAAAACCAAGAGCAACGTTTCATCATGCTCAAAATTTTGACTGTGATGGTTCTGTAAAAGTGAAAGTTGGGGCCTGAACACACATGCGTACACATCTGTGTTCTGCAGATGACGTACAAAGGGAACCCGGAAAGGCTTCATGATACAATCTCTGAGAGCTGGGAGGAATTCAAATTGTTTCTAAACAAAAGAAGTACAGGAACTAAACCAGACTCAAACCGTAACAGTGATGTGGTGACGAGTCTTTTGGTTGCCACAAAGACTCATCACACGTTACCAGTGCAAGCACTTTTGCTCTTATTTTTGCTTCGGATCTCAGAAGGTTCAGACTTTGTAGGTTTCCCAAGCAAGTGTCACAGTTTGCTCATTAGTCCCAGTATAGAAGAATGAATATTTGTAGAAGTAAAAGTCTTGTAAGCAAAAGATTTTTAGAGAAAATAAGGTAAATTTAAACAGATGAATTTTAGCTAAACTCACATCATTGTCACAGTTCACTTTGATTCCAGTGAAGTTGTGTATGCCTGAATCTAAGTCAAGCTTCACATCATTTTTCTGTAGAATTTGTCTACTTTCTATTATTTCAGAAGTGATTTAGAGTAAAACATGTGCTCCTACATCTCTCACATACACTGCTGCTATATCTACCTTTGGAAAGCATGCCTGTTTCCAATAAAGGAAACCAGAACGTATTTCTGATCAAACAGACCAAACACCAGTAATGACACAAAAATTTTATCTATTCAAAAAACCTCAACATAAAAATTCTTAACTACACACAGAAGTATCTAATAAATACACAAGGATACTAATATGCTGAACAAAATGATATAAAACTAGAAGAAACAACTTGTTCTGCCTTTTCTGTTTGGTGTACAGAGACACACGCAGGCCAACACAGAGCCCAAAAGATGCCACTGACCAAACAATTCTAATAACAGCATATAGTGCATACCTATCCCTTAAAACAGGTACGAGTAGTGAACACAGATGCTATATGTCCAATATAGAATCCTCCATATATTCACAGCAGTGCCATACAATTTAGGCAGTGATTTAAATTACTGTTTAGGTCACCTAAAATTGGTAAGTAACTGAAGTGGCTACTCCTCACACCACCCATCAGAAACTGAAATTCATAAACATTCTGACCATCCATAATGTCAACATTTTTGAATGCTGTTCAGATCAGAGTGACAACACATAATGTAATCATAACACTGAAGAAATAAGCCAAATTTCATACCCCCATCAAGGCTCCTGGAAACACGTTTGCTTGAAGTGCGTTCAAAGTATGGAGCTGGTCTGTCTATGAGGTTGCTAGCCTGTCGTGTCTGTGCTTGCGTACGTCCACTGTAGCGGAACTTGGAACCCAAGGTTAGAAACTTTGCTTTTGGAGGCTGTTCTGGTGATACAAGTCTAAACGGTAAATACGAGGGAAGTCAGTCAATAAGGCTTCATTTTATGTATTTAATGAGGTACTTTAAAGCTACTAATTATATTTCAACTTTAGTTCACCATGCACGATTTGTGCACTCCAAGAAAGGATTCTACCATAAACTGCGAGAATAACTTCTAAAACAAGGCATGTTATTTATTATTTGCAGTTGGAATTGAAGTGATGCTGATAAACATCACATTTTCCACAGTATGACTAAGCATCTGAGATCCTTCTCTTTCAGTGCTATCTTGGTAAAATGGCATTTTTTCTAGAAAGCTGACGCCATTACAGGTCCATGTAGAATACTGCTCAGATCTCTCTCCTTAGAATGTTACTTATAGTTGAAACTACACATGCCACTTCCACTGTCTTTCCTCTATTCCAAGGTACCAGTACAGTGGCTGCTATTCCTCAGAGTTAGGGAATGGCATCTCAAAGCTGCGTAGAAGGCTGTATCAAGTGAAAAAAAGACTGAGATGTCTGGACAGTTGTGACCCAACAGTAGGAAGTTTAACAAGCTAGATTCAGACCTCAGTTTCCTTACAATGTCATTTATAGATTTGCGTAAGTTGATGCTTGCTGGATATAAGGAGGGGGGAAAGAAAGCACATGTGAAAGGGGTGAAGAAGAGATTCAGTTATGAGTGCTGTTAATGTGGGGTATGTATGTTTGTGTTAATGTCAGAAAGTCTAAGTAACAATGTGGCAGAATTTGCTGTGAGGGATTCTGATTTATTCCACTAGTTTTGGACACCACACGAGTTTGAAGAGACAGGTCCTCTTATACCCCCCTGAAGTTCCTTCAGTATGAGGACTTCAAGCTCTTATTCATCCAACCCTCATTGCTTGGTCTTTGTTTTTGAAATCTAAGCCATCAGCGTCAACACTGAGGGTATTGTTTGTTCCAGTGCCATCCTTGCTGATAGGATAAACAGTCATCACTGCAGCAACCTTTCCTAGTCTCAGCTTCTCTAGAAAGGATTTTGATGTTGCTCCCTGGATCATGGTAGTGCTGCAAACACATGCTCACCCAGCACGGCAGTCTGCATGGCCTATTCTCCCTCCACATAAAACCATGAGATTATTCCAGATAGAGTTTTTTGATTTGAGGATCTGAAAGAATGAGAAGCTCACTGAACATTAGCTTCTTTCAAGCAGAATCAGCAACTGCTGTGCCCTTTGTACTGAGGATGGCACAGATGGGCAAGAGAGACTTAAAAGTACGCTGACTTTGTTCTGCTCTTTTGAAGCATTTGCACAGAGAATATAGTATCTGTGTCAGTGGAATCCGATCCAACATACGTTAAAACAGTATCCAGTGGTGTGTTCTGAAAACTGACATTCATTCTAAAGATATTTCAGCGAAACTGAAGAATTTTCAGATACTTAGCAAAAAGAACGGTGAGCCAGGTAGAGGGTTACCATTTCCGAAGAGAGGATGTTCATGGCTTTGTCAGAGCACCAGCCAGAAGGATCCAATCCTGCATGCCTAAGATGCATATGCACGCACCTGAATCCTAATGTGTTCATAAAACATTTTTAAAGAAAACAGAACTCAAGACAGACTCATCCACCCTTCTGCACTAAGGCCACTTCTGTAATAAAATCACAAGTATCCGGAGCTTCACTTTCATTGCCTCTATAAAACAGCCTTATGCAATCTTTGTGACAATTTATTTCTTCACATTATTTCCAAGACAGAATGCATTATGCATTAAGAGGAAGAAGGCTAAGAGGGTTTTTCCAAGGTTCTTTCTGTTCTTTATTTTCCAGTCTTGGCAAGGCTACAGCATTAACTGCCATTTTTGTCTTCCACCCTGCTGAGATAAACTTCTAATCTTTTAATGTGGAAAAAACAAGAGAACTAATTACTTCCTGATTAAGGACATTTGAATGGATTTTTTGTATTACAAACTTAATTACATAAAGTAACTCAAAACTATGCTTTTACCATTTTAAGACATTCTGGGGAGACACTGAAACAACCATGAAAATTTCAAATAAAACATCATAAAGCAGAATTATAAGCAGGTTTCTGCCATCATTGGTTAAGATCCAGAGTTGCAGACTAAGCTTATCTCAGAAGATTAATGTGGATACATAGTCTGATTGTATTTCTTAATGTACATTGTTGCTTTTTGAAAACAGTACTGGAATCCTATAAGGTTGAGCTGATACAAGTGAATCCAATGCCTTTTGGTTGGCATTTTCAATATAGTTCATTACAAATTTTTACAAATAACTTTATATGCTGGCTGAATTTCCCATAAAGTATAAGGTGATGTGTCTTAATGCAATTATTTGAGAAAAACTGAAACATTGCAAAAGACAACACAAGGAATCTTACAGTGTTACATAGGGCATGCTAAGAGATCTGGAAGCTAAAAATGTACATCTAGATTGAATACAATTCATCGTGGTATAACACACGTGCTCTGAAAGAGCTACACAGTCTCCTGGACTGCAGCAATTGCTTTCTGCTTTTTATCTCTGGAGAAAAATAGAGCTGGATTATTTTACTGTTTTTAAATCAGGATGAGAGGTTCTGAGGATTTTCTGTCTGATGACATCAGTGGAGTGTATGGATTTTACAGAATGGTTCAAGTGTTTGTTACATAATTCTTGTTATAATGTCATTCCTGGTTAGGAAAAGCCACTTCTGATTAGAAAAAAATCCAATTAATGTTATTATGTCAGAATTTCTGTAGTAAGATTATCTAATACATACTAACACTCCCGAAAAATTTTATATTTGCAAATGGTAGTTCTTAGTTTAGGATTTTTAACTTCCATAAGATCTGTTTTTTCCCTATTCAGGTTCATTTTATTATTATAAAATTAGGAAATACAGTTTCCCAGCAAAGCAAATCACTGCATGAGTTATCTGAAGGGTGTTGATGAACTTTTCATTGAAGATAGGACCACATGCTATTTGTGGTAACAGACATCACCAGCCAAAGCAGACTTCAAATTTTAAAGAAGAATAGAATGGTGGACTATGCATCTTAATAAACTTTACTAATGAATTCTATCAAACTTGGGAAAAAAAAAAAATCTTTGATCAGGGTTTAGAAAAAAGAAGTGCTTCTAACTTCAGCGTTTTGAGACTGATTGCGAATCCCAGCACAAATTCTAACATTGTATTAAAGAATATCACATCCCTTTAAAATTTGAATACTGAAAACCATCCAGTGAGATAGTTCCAGTATTGAACTGCTTAGGTCTCATGGTCTCCAAGTTCTCTGAAGGTCTCAGTCTAGCAAGTATATTCAGCTCAGACTAGTATTCAGCAACAGGACTGCACCTACCTTAAAATACAACTGCTTTTTTAAAATAAAAACCAGGCTACTGAAGGACAAAGTTTACCTTTTACAAACCCTAGTTACCATGCTCATATGAAGCAAGAAACTCAGATTCAATGCCTATGAGATTCAGCCTAAATCTGTGACCCCTACGCTGCATAGGGCACATGCACTCCCTCATGGAGTTTGTGCTATTATAAAAATCAAATGAAGATTTTTTTCAAATGCCTTCTCAGTGGAGGAAGTAGAAGTAAAAGCAACTCTGTGGCCTATTGCTAAAATGCTCATTTACAAATAGACCATAGTTTCAATGACCAATTCATAATTTTATGTTTATCAGTCACCGGGGAAAAAAATGCAGAGAAAGTTATGGATTATTACATAAACAAATAGTAGTCTGTTTTTAAAGTGATTCTCTGTTCTTTAAAGAATGACTGTGAACACAGCCCAGTTTATAAGTAAGCAAAAACTCAGCTGTAAGCATTTACATTCAGCAGAATACTCTGCAAAGTGAAGTGAATGAAGATTACTGTCAAGCCCTGAGAGTATTTTGTGAAGGAGTATAGTGGCTTTCTAGACAGTCACTCTGAAAAGTCAGTCTCTCAGGAAGTCTTATGTACGATCACTAGTTTAGTTCCATCCTGTTAGCACTCTGAAAGTTTAAATACAGCAGTTAATTGCACTTCAGACTTTCAGAATTGGTAATTTGAGGTCACTGATTGTTAGGGTGTCTTCTGTCTGAGAGGTGTTACTGGACTGAGAAACTACGGGCAAAGAGGTAGGGGAAATCTTCTCAACTTTCCTCATATCCTTTAAAAGAAAGATATGAGCACATCTGGCAAAGTAAGGGAAGCAGAGAATCATCATTTACCTGAAGAAAGTATGGTGCTCCACACAAACCTTCCATAACCTTTTAGCAGCCCGATGGTTTGGCAGTTTGAACCCAATAGTGCTCTCAAACTGTTCCAGCTGGAAAGAATCCACAGATAAATTAATACATTTCCTTAAGCTGGCCACTGACTAGCAGGCAGACTTCAGATAGTTCCATTACTATAACAAGCTGTAACTCTCCTGTCATAACACTTCATTAAATCAAAAAAAAAAAAAAAAAAATTTAAAAAACCCGCAGATTTTCCAGCCTTTTAATAAAATTATACTTGGTGGGCTAGTCATGATGGGTAATAATCACACTATCACTTCCTATCTGTACTAATGACTCTTTTGAGAAATCTAATAATACTTCAGTGTTCTTTGCTGATTTTTCTGACTAGCTGCCCAAGGTATTTTTTTTTAAACTGCATGAAGTAATTTTATTGCAGGTTGTGCTGCACACTTTCCTTGGATTTAATAAAAGTCTGAAACCCATACTGCAGTGTTAAGCTTACCTGATCCATTTCACTACATAATAGTTTCTTCGCAAAAATATTACATCTATGAACCATCAGTGAGTGCGACAGCAATACACCTGTGTTCCAAAACTTACAAAACTACAACATTACTATTGCACCATTGGCATTTAGACTTCTCTTTCATTTATTCACGCAGTACAAGCTACCTTAAACATTTTAGATTATAATCTAAAAAACCATTAAGGTGTTTGAGATTTTTTGTGAAATTTCCGGTTACAATGTGTTCAAAACACAAACACACACACCTCCCCTCCTCCCCCCCTTCAGCAACTACCACAAACTTATAACGGTATCTGAAAGAAAGTTGAATCCATTACTTCCACAGCAGCTAACAGAAGAGTTGTAACATCCTACAGGACAACTCCATTCTTTGGTTACACTCATAAACTAAAAATTTAGTGAACAATTACACCCAAAGGTAAAGAGAAGCTGGCTCTCTCCCAGGACTGCAAGTCTGTATAGACAGTAGGAACATGGGCAGTGTAACTAGCTTTCCCTGTAAAAAACAAAAAAATTACAAGATGGCATCTATTAGCAAAATAAAATAGATTTTCTTCTTGGTTTGCATCTAGTAATCAAGATGTGTTTGACACCATCAGTAGAATCTGAAGAGGAAAATAAAATGCTTTTATGTTCTGCTCTAATCCAGCATAAGCCTGGGAGGACATCTGGGGGGAAAAAAAAAATCGGGATGTTGTCTTGTTGCTGGATAGAAATAATCTCACAAAAGAAACAAGATAGAAAGGTGCTACTTACTTCTGCTGGTCTGACTTTGATGTAGAAATTACTTCGCTTATAGGAAATCTTCAGAATTTTTGGCCAAGCGAAGCGGTTGATCCGGAGTCTATCTTTGTAAATGAGCAGTCCATTAGCACACACACCCAGCATGATATCCACACCTTCAGAATCCTATCACGTATGACACAATTTCATAAAAATCAGTTTAATAACATTCCAAACAAGTAGTTAATGCTGGCATATCTTGAGGGAATAACGCAACTGGGCCTTGTTTCATATTCAAACCTGAAAGACCTTGACAATGAGATTCTTAATGCAGAAATAGTCAAGTATATTATTTTTATTGGAAAGGCTTAAAGTAATGGCTTTGGCATGCTTCTATCTGCATATGCCACGTTTTGGGAAATTCTTCAATATTAAAATCATAGAATAGTTTGGGTTGGAAGGAACCTCTAAAGGTCACCTAGCCCAATCCCCCTGCAGGGAGCAGGGACATCTGCCACTAGATCAGGTTGCTCAGAGCCCCGTCCAGCCTGACCTTGAATGTTTCCAGGGATGGGGCATCTCCCACCCCTCTGGGCAACCTGGTCCAGTGTTTGACCACCCTTATTGTAAAAAATTTCTTCCTTATATGTAGTCTGAATCTACCCTCTTTTAGTTTAAAACCATTACCTCTTGTCCTATCGCAACCAGCCCTGCTAAAAAGGTTGTCTCCACCTTTCTGATAAGCCCCTTCTGAGTACTGAAAGGCTGCAATAAGATCTCCCTGGAATTTTCTGGCCATACAGACTAAGTCAACAACTTACAAGCAAGGAGAGGTATGGTGGGTGTGCTACCAAACAAATATTAAAAGAAGAAAAATTAAAAACAGGTTCTTCCAACGTAAAACAGTCAATGGAAGTCTGAACAAGGTGGTGATCATGGTCACCTCTTAGTCCAACAGAGATACAGGAAGTAATGGGTAGCTGGCTGGAAATGTCAACATCATGATTTCAAAGTGCTGGTGGGCCACGCTCCTGAGCATTGTGTTCCACTGACGGCGTTTGATGCAAGCTTTACAGGCTATAAAACTCATCACCTACTGATAAGGCTTCAGTACACTGTACCACTACATGTTCTCCCCAACAACAAAATCAACTACATAAAATGCTGACACTGTCATTCAAAAGTTACTTCCCTGGTGTAACTAACAGTTGCAAGAGGATTCTGGCAAATAGTGCTTTAATGCTTGCAGTTACTTCACTATGTCAAAAAAAAGTTCCAATAAAATTCTAATAATCTAAGTTTCTCAAAACACTACAGACCAAGTAAACTGCCATGCCTCACTTGTATTAAAAAATGAATGTTACACACATAGATAATGTATATGAATAAAAATTGAAGTACATTTCTTTCAAGTGCTTCTAACAGGACAGAGGAAAAAGTCTATGGAAAGTTGCAAAAACAAGTGCACAGTGTTTCCATATGAAACAGAATAAAACAATGTTTCTCCAGTACTTAAAAGTCTTGTTTTTCTTTTTGAAATATAGGACTGATATGCTTACAATGAACTGATTTTCCTAATGAGTTGAGACTTGTAGTTTGTGTGAGAGTGGGAGGAGGTTGGTTAGTTGGTTTGTTGGGTTTTTAACTGAAAAAATCCCAACAGCAATGCAAATTTGATTTGACCTACCCAGAGGAGTGGAAAAAGCACCAAAAAAAACACCCTCCCCCAAGACCTTCCCCCCTCTTTTTTAACTCTCACTGTATTACAAAAACTATTACATGTTCTTTTAGGCTTCAGTTTATGATCCCACATCTCCTTGGCACCAAAAACCTGACATTTAAAATTTATTTAGCTGCTCTTTTGAACGAAATATTCTTTCCAAACTGCATGTACATCTATGCATTAAATAAACCTAGATTTCAAATAAATTCTATGGATGTTAGAGCTGTAAACTGAGTAATTATCATGACCAAGAGATAAAAGGCTTATACATAAGAATTGAGGGTATGAAATTTTTAAAATAATCTACATATACTATGATCTTTAAAACTAAACATGTCTATCCTAAAACCAAACCAAACCAAACCAATCCCCAATACCTTGGCATGATGTAAATCCACTCCATACATGGAGAGTCTCTTAGCATTTTCTAGGAACTGGGAATCCGCCTGTGCTGGAGTCAAGCCCCTAAAACCATTGAATAAGCCTTGAGTTTATTGACAAAATAACTGAAAATCAAAGCTGAGTGGAATCCTAGAATTCAGACACATAGAAAAACCTCTGTTTGTAATGTATCAATAGCATTTTTGCCCTAAAGGGAAAGTGTTCTTTCAAAGCTTATTATGTTCCTTTAGTAGAGATTTCCACCTTCACTCTTGCAAAATATTTTAGTTATATGTTGCTTAAACCAATTCATATGCTCAAATAAAAATATTTTCTCCAAAACGTCTCATCCAAGATCTTAGTGAAGCTACTATTTTCAAACTGAAATTTTTAAACACATGAAAGTAAGAGGTTCTGGTTACACAACAGAAGATTTCCAAAGCAACAGTAATTTCAGCTTTGCAGTTTTACACATACTCTTAAGAGAATTGACATAAACATAACAAAGAACAATGATTTCATTTGGTGTCACTGTATCTGACACACCTGTGTGTTTTGTGTAGCTCAGCTACTTTCTCTTCCATTTCTTGAGTTTGATTGGGTGCAAATTGGAATTCACTGATATAATCACTGCGGTGCTCCTCTGGGTCATGATCCCCAAGCTCAGCCTGCAGGGTGTATGAACCAAGGAGGGCGTGCGTCACAAAAGAACACGGCAGTCGACCAGAAGCAATATCCTGGCGAAGCTGTAGGCACAAGAAATATCTGCAAAACAAAGGAGTGGGGAAAAAAACGAACAAACACAAACAAGAACAGAGAAAGTGTTACCAATGGCAAGTTTGAGAGATATGGCAGAATTTATCGAGATGCATGTGATCATATAAGCATATTTTAAAATAAGTCAATCCATTAATGATTTGTTACACCTTATATTATTTGAGCATTATTGCCACACAGTAAATTTCACTTCCATTTTTCAGAGTCAATATTACTTTCATAAATAATCTGAAAAGTAGGAAAAATTCTGATTTCCAATATAAATGAATGAAAACTCTATCTAGCTTGTAACAAAAGCTGACTTAGGAACTCCTTCATTTTGCATTCTAGCCTGCAGGTTTCTAAGGTTTACAAATAAAACCCCATGCACTTCCTTTGAAATTTCCCTTTCGCTTTAGAATTCTAACTTTTATACCCCTTGCAGTCTATGAGCTAATCAAGTCATGTAATACACAAAAGAAATCCAATTTGGCACTGAACGCATAATTGCCTTCCTTAAACTATCTCTGTATTAGAATTTAATATTTCAGGTATTGCATACAGTCTTCTACCAAATTTAACAAGTTAACAATCAGTAGACATCCTACCCTAGCACAGGTTTTAAATGTAAAAGTTTTACATGTGAAGCTTAAATTTTAAGGAATTTAGCTTTAAGCTATAACCATAAAAATGTTTATACCAGTTGAAATGTCAACAAACTCGCTGAAAATTTTCAAAGAAACAGACAGCTTCTTTTAAACACAGTGTGTACTAAATACCTTGTGTAGCTATCTTGTTTTGTGCAGAAAAGTGATGCGACGTGATGTGTATAACATATATCCTGCCTCAGCAGACTCAGCTAACTCCAAACCAAAACTGTTTAGGTTTTCTGTAACTCCTGAAAAAATGAGCTTCAATTCCCTGCACTCTACCCACTGGTTATGTTAGCCTTGCCATGCTACTTTTTAGATGCCTAGTATCCACTGCATTCTAAGTATTTTCTAAGAACTTCGGAAGAGGAGTATTTTCAGGTTTTATTATGTTTCATGGTTTTATTTAATGCATATGTATAATACTATGTTTTCACCAACCTAGCCCAGATTATTACTGAAGTACCTTGGACCCCTTGAGCTTTGCTCTCAATATCAATACCCCCAACACTCTCATTTGCTATATAATAAAGCAGCAGCCTGGCAATAAACACTGGCTTCTTTCAAATTTGATCATTCGCATCTTACATCCCACCCAAATCATATCCCCACTTATCATAAAATTCTTCTTTGTCAGGTTTCTTCTTGAGCTTTCACTTTGCCTTTTCAACCCAATTCCAAAAAGCAGTTGATATAAAAACATCTGTAGTGTTCTACAGTAATAGCCAAACCTGTTATGACCTCCAGAAACTGAAGAAGAAATTTTATATGGCCTTCAAATTAGACTAACAGTAATTTTTAAATTAGTTTATTTAAAATTAGGAACTATGCATACCTAGTGATATCTTCAGTCAACTGTGAAGGATCAGGAGGATAAAACTTCACATTAAAGGTGAATATCCAAGGTAAACCTAAACATGGGAAATGTCTGATTGATAATGATGTCAAACAAGTCAAAACAAGCAAAAAAAGAAACTTACTGAAAAAAAACATTAGGCAGTCATATAAATCTTAGATCCCTGAAATCTTGAAGAAAGCTTTCTTCCTCTTTTTACAGTAAATTAGTAAGGATAGATTACTTTCATTATCAGGTAGTAACTCATATATACATACAGTAAAAGATTAGCACTTAAAAATTATCTTCGAAGAACGTTTTACAAAAAGTTATGTAAATATCAGAAGAAGTTTTTAATTTGAAAACTACCATAATATATTAACAGTTATACAATATTCTGTGTTCAAAGACACTTGCACTGACTTTGTGTTTATTTTCAACTCCTCCAACGCTAAAAATCTCCCCCTGTTTAAACTAACTGTTAGTTTGAGAGACTGTAAGATAACTCTAAACATGAGATGTCAAAATGACGTCTGCGTTGCATACAACAGAAAGATAATATATAAATTATTCATATTCATACAGAATCTCTATCACTACTCATAGCATCTCTGCTACAATGAAAGGCTGAGGGAGATGGGCTTGTTTAGCCCGAAGAAGAGAAGACTGAGAGGGGATCTTACAAATGCTTATAAATATCTCAAGGGTGGGTGTCAGGAGGATGGGGCCAGACTCTTTTCAGTGGTGCCCAGTGACAGGACAAGGGGCAATGGGCACAAAATGAAGCATAGGAAGTTCCGTCTGAACATGAGGAAGAACTTCTTCCCTCTGAGGGTGACGGAGCACTGGAACAGGCTGCCCAGGGAGGTTGTGGAGTCTCCTTCTCTGGAGATACCCAAGACCCGCCTGGACAAGGTCCTGTGCAGCCTGCTGTAGGTGACCCTGCTTCGGCAGGGGGGTTGGACTAGATGACCCACAGAGGTCCCTTCCAACCCCAAACGTTCTGTGATTCTGTGAATGCATGGAAGACAAAAAATATTAGCCATTCCTCCTTTAAAATATTTTTCTTGAAACAGTACCTTTAGCAACTATAATAGCAATGCTATTTTAAGTTTAAATTCTCATGTGTTAGAATTGTTAACACCACATGCATTTTTTAAGCAAAAGCATGCTTAAAACTAGAGTAATAATTTGATAAATCATAAATTGTCGCCTTTCATCATAGCTCTTGTTTTAAGTAACTTTAAGATTTGAAAGCTGTAGTCACTCATCAATAATTAAAATACATTCTCAGAATGTTACTCTATTGGTATTGTGACATTATGAGCAAGAGGAATATGTTCATTGGAAAGTACTAATAACTTGAAAAAAATGTAGAACTTTCCTAATTCAAACAGATTTTATTAAGTACAATGCAGACATACATATGTAATAGGAAATCCAAAAATAGGAGCCTAAGAAAATAATTTAATAGTTTGGGTTTGCATGCTGCTTGAAAGCAAATGCACATGAGCTTTATCATATCTTGCCAAATACAATGAAAGTACCACTACAATGTAGATCTGCTAAAAATAATGAAGAAAGATACGAGAGTAGATCAAAATATTATCAAAACAATTAAGCAGCTATTTCTGTCTTCCTCTTGCCCCTTTTCTCCTAATACAAATGATAGTGTGGTGAAAGACCACACTATAATAAGCTTTGGTAAATAAGCTTTGGTAAATAAGCTTTGTTAAAAAATAATAATAATATTATGGTAATCATTTTATAAAGCTTGTTAATGATGAATTTTGGACAGCAAACGATTTTAAAAATCTGTCCTACACAGATAAATCATGCTTTGAAAAATGTGTATTTTTACAATAACAAAAAAAAAGACTGAAATGCCATTTCCAACATTACGCTAGAAAAGAGTGCTGACATTTATGTTTAAGGTTATTTTCTTTAAAGAAAACTATTTTAAAATTTCACAGCTGTTAATGGTGAAGAGATGCTTTGTGTCAAAATTTCTAATGCCTTTCAACATTTCCAAAATTATTTCAGTTTTTCAGACATGACTGTTCATTGGAGCACTTCAATTTCTGCTTAAATGTGAACCTCATTCTCTACCTGGCTGCAAAGTCACTATTGCCTTTTGAGAGCTCGGGTTTTTTGTGTATCTTAATGTTCCCAGTTATCAATTATTTGTGACAACAATAATTTTGCTTACAAAATAAGGCAGGACTCCTTAAATGAGAAACCCTAGTTTATCAGCTGTACACACAGTACTGAATCAGGTAAAATATGCTTCACTGCATCATCTACTGCAATCCAGTGCAAGACAAAATTAAGACAAAAATACTTTTAAAAACATCTAACACTAATTAATACATATAACATGAACAAACAGAATTAAAACAAGAATAGATTAGCCCACTTCCATAATTTATCTCCCAGGGAATTAGCATCATTTAATGAAAAGCTACTGATACTGAGTAAGCCAAACTGATGAAGAGAAGCAGTTGGGCCAAAAATCCCTATGCAAAAAGTGTTTAGGGTGAGTTGTCATGTTCATAGGGCTGTGGGACAGGGAGAGATGGATGAAGGATGTGTCTTTCCACACAGGTACTAAACCCGTCTTAAAGTCCTGGAATGAAGCAATGTTTCCTTGTATGAAGCAAATTTTCCCGGTCTAAAAATGCAGCTAAACTGGTCATAGATGAATTCCTGCTTAACCTATTTCTCTTTTTTGTCAGTATTTCTACAGTTAGCTTTCAGAAAGCACTGTAGCCAGGAGACCTAGACACTGTTTGAAGAAAAAAAAAATAACATTCTTTACAAAAAGCTAAAAAGAGCATAAATCTTCTGAGTCTATAGACTATGTGAAAAATTTCAATATGTACGCATACTAATTCCCATAGTCAATCCACAGAAAAAATGTTGTAGTTGACTTTCTACTAAATATTTTCTGGACAGTTGGTGACCTTATATTTTGCCTGATTACTGAAAGCACATTTATCCCCTGAATATACACTAGCAAGTATATTACAATGTGCACAGCCTATATTTATACTTCTCACTACAGCATACTGTTTATAGCAACATAATGGATGCACACAAACATAATTGTCTTCACACAATAATGCACACTATTACTGGTGCTTTGAATTGGAGGCCAAGACAAGAAAAAAACCTGATACTCAAAATGATATTTAGCATTCTGTCCCTGATAAGACTCTCTGTTTTGATGTTTAATAATATGGGCTATAGAAAATGTCAAGAATTTTTCTAGCCAGCTTGTTACCACAAAAATGCTTCTGCAGCAACTTTAGGCACATTCTTAGAGAACAAGAATGCAATATAACCAACCAGCTAGCAGAATACAATTAACATGATTCATCCTGTTCAAACTGGGAAGTCAGTGAGGGGTTGTGGGTTTTGTTTTTTTTTTTCCAGTAAAGGTTTTTTCTGGATTTTACTGACAAACTAACATTTTTCGGGTACTGTGTGATTAGGACAGATACACTGCTCACAGACAGATGTAAAAAAGCCCCATAAAATTAAGAAAATTACTACTTCTATAATTTTTCTGAAGTTATTATCAAGAAAATGAAAGATGTAAGATATATCTCCAGTCTGCATTTTCAAAAATACATTAAAAAAACACAGAGTCCAGCCAGCCCTAGCTGGACTAACAAGATTCAGCTCACAAACTCAGAAATGACCAAACTGCAAAACCATTCTTTATAATTCATCAACATACAGGAGCAATTCTGCAAGACAACTCTTCCCTGGCACAGGTGCTTATTTCTCTTCACCAACTAGAAGCTAGACTCTAGTGTAATTAGCTTAGATTGAAATTCGCTACAACTTTTACAGATATATAATTACTTACATGAAAGAGATTGATATAAAACAAAGTGACCTTGCATAAAATAACCCCTGCATTTTGATGCTTGAGCTTAACCATGTTTTCTTAGTATTAAAATCAGACAGCCAAAACCATACATTTAAAATAGAAGCCTATTCTTTAATTAATTCTAACTTCCCTTAGCACTTTTAAATGCAAACTTTAAAATTTCTTAAATATTTTAGTACACTATGTTGCAAAATTTTCAACTTGTCCTATATTATTCTCACAGAATTGTATTTATGAATTTATCACCATTTGGTCTACTGTGTAATTCGAAATTATACATACCTAACCATATCATTATCCTTCCATATCATCCTCTTTCCTGATCAGTTAAGATGTTTAGGCTATATTGCAGAACATACCATAGAACCAATGTCAAAAATCCATTTCAGCTCCATGACATTTCCAGAACTATGGTAATCGCTGGCTACATATGTCTCAAAGACAAAGCTAGTATTCTATTTGTCTCTTTTTAAGTTCCCCAGTCTGAATGACTGGATGCCCATCAACAAAAGGACATTGAGAGCAGTCTTCAACATGAATAAGGAGCAAGCTTTAAACTTGTAGCCCAAAATTTGCCACCAGCTGCCTCACCTGTTGTACTATTTTATCTGTTCTAATCCACTTCCATAGAATTATAGAGGGTTTCCCTCAACCCCTTCAATAATTAAACTGAATCAAGTAACAAGCAAATAAGTTTTCTGACTTCACTCCATCAGTTAATCACTCCTTTCAAAAAAGACAATAACTTACCTATCACCATAACCATTATCTTTTTTGATGCCAGTGGACAGTTGCGTTCAGCCCTAGACTGCTGAAATTCAGTTATCTACATCACACACCACTGACTCCCCTTACGGCCAATGGAAAAAAACAGGAGTTTCCAAAGGCTGGTTGGGTTCCCCTCTCAGGTACCCATTTCAGAATGCACTCGTTCACCTCCTGAAAGTGCCTGTTCCTTCAGAAAACCTAGATTAGATCGGATTAATCATACTCTAGGTAGAGTGATGAGCTTCTAGAATCTGTCTGGCTAAATAAGCATTGTCCTGACAAAAGACAATAAGAAAACTTTATAGTTAATTTCAACAGCAAAAACAGCTAAATGTATCTTTTATCAGGTAAGAATGCATAACAAAACACCCCCACAACAGTCTATTCTGCCCTCAAAATATCAAAATCCTCCCTATTTCTTATAAGATCAAAAAGACAGGATATGAGATATGAGATATGGAAGTTTCTATATTTTATCATACAATTTTTTTTTCAATAAAAATACTAATCAAGCTGCTGACTAGAAATAGGTTTAATTGACATAACATTACCTTAAATTTAAACAACTACTCCAAACAGCATAGAAAATAAATATCTGTTTAGAAGAGTATAAATTATATCCACACCAAAACCAGGATATAGCCCAAAAATAATTGCAAAATTTGTGAGAAGGTCTATAACTCAGTTTCATATACTTTAACTACACAAACAACCAGAGCAAATAATTAGGCTTCCCAAAACTGATGGCTTATACATTCACATCGGTAATCTTTATTCATGATATAACTGTGAACATTGCAGACAAAAGATTGGTCTTCAACTGCAATCAGCACTATGACGAAACCAGGTTTACATAGTTTACTCAAACCCTGTTACACTGAGAATGAGAGTAATGAAAACACCCACAGACAAAACTAAGTGGAACATCACGTGTTCTATAGAAACTGTATGTACAACATCTCACACAGATAAATTATCAAATTAAATATTATATACGGGTGAACCACCACGCGCACTGTAAAGTCTGGGATTTGACTACTCCAAGGTCAGTTAGTACTGCTTGTACCATCACTGTATCCCAAGCTGAAATTCTCAATTTTGCAGAAGCCTGAATCCACTTCATGTGTAGCAACTTTCAAGAAGATAGTGACGGAAGTATAATTACCCCACCTGTCCCTGATTGAATTAATTAGAGGTTTTAACAGATGCCATTGGATATCCAATTACACAAGTTAAAAAAAGTCGAGAATTAATTTTCCTGAAGAGTTCAGACTGGCTGAAAGCAAACAAGCTTTTTGTCACCTTCGTAGCCCTGTGAAGAGAGCCAGTAATTTGTGGATCAAGTTCATTAGCTGAAGTAACATCAGTAATTGCTGTGATCCAACATAATTGCCCAGCCAAAGGCCAACCTGAACAAATGAGAGATCACACAGAAGGCCAGAGGACCCTGATTTAGCAAGAGACAGCCTGATGCATGACATGACTTGGGGGAGACTACAGGATTCTTATTTTCTCTTCTCGGTCACATGTGGTATATACATGCCCAATGTGCAGAGTATTGCTATTGTTCACATGTAAGAGAGAGACAGAAAGCTGCAAACTGACATGCTGAACTCCACTTCCAATTTTGTCACCTTTGTGTGTTCAGATCAATGTATTTGTCCAGCTACACTTATCTAGCATGCCAGTACTTCAATTTGTGCTGTACAAGAGAAAAAGAAATTAGTTTCTTCATTTCAAATGTTCAAATGGACTAGTAGGTTTAATAGGTACCTTAAATTTATTATAATGCAGTATTTTTGTACATAAGATTTCCATTGTTGATTCACAGACAAATATATTTAGAACTAAGCCAGAAACAAAAAGCCTCATTACTTGATACTTGTGTAGTTGGAAGATAAAATTTGTTTTTGCAGTACATTCCAGTATCTGGATACTTTAATACACCGATTGTCAGGAACACAACTCACAGTATGCTGATTACGTGCAAATTGGTGTAAGCAAGTTTCATTTTAAAATCCTTGAAACAGCGCTCTTATTTGGTCATTTGCCTTACACTATGCTTATCAACTCTGAATTGCTACAGACCAGAGAAAAAATTCCAGTCATAATGCCTAAATCAAGAAACTGGACTTGATCTCTAATATAAAATAGAGGTCTTCATGCTGTACGAAAAATCACATCCCCTTAAAATACTTTTCATAGCATGTATTATATAGTACTAAAAAAAAATGTTGTGTAGTGCCTCCAACAATTTTTCAGTTCAGTTCCTACGCTTCAGATTCATGACTCTTACTTTTAGGCTCTATAGTATGCAGATCACTACAGAAGACAATAACAAAAAGTATCAACGTTCTCAACCTTTTGTCAAATATTAAAACCAGGCAAACTAGACTTCAGCCCACGTATTTGGACAACTAATAATTTTTTACTGAAGACCTACAGAACAAGAGATTACAATACCAGTAACTCTTCCTTAATTAAAAGGATGGCCTCTGCTTGCGTAAGTATATTAGTACATTCTCTATTTTAATAGGTCTCGTTTGCTAATCCAAGAGCATTGTTAGATCAAAAAAACAGTTTCCAAGGAAGCTTGTGTAACTTTCATTTCTTTACTGAAAATATAAACCACACCTTCCTAGCATGGGTTTTCATCAGTTGGGAAAGGTACAAAGAAAGCAGAATTGACACCACTACAGTTTCTGGAAAAATGCAAGTGCTGCCTTAAAACAGGAAGTTAACAAAGGTAAAGAAGCCATCTGTTTATCACTGTAAATAACACACTGCCGTTCTTAATTACAAGTGCTCCCACTGGATCACATTCCGCAAAACAGTTCAAAGTCATTTTCTTAAATAACTTAAATTCTTGTTGTGCTGGAACTGTAAACATGTTAATCTTATTATCATCATCATCTCCTCCCTGCTTACATTTCCTACAAGGCACTAAGAAAAGAAGGCTCCCATCAAAAAGAAAACAACAATAAAAAAACTCTGCACTGGCCACAAACGAGTAAAGCAATGAGAAGAGTTTCAGCAAGGGCAAGGGCTGTCTAGCACTTCCTAGTGGCTACTTATTTTGAGACATGTACACTTATGAAGAGTATTTCCTAAATTTACCTTCCATTCATTACCCTATCTACTACAAAAGCTGCCCAGCTACTGAAGAGTTTTGACAGAATTCTGTGCAAACAGAGTAAAACAAATTACTTATTGTGTACTGAGTATAGGAAGCAGAAAGACTTCTTACATTGGTTCAGACTGAAAAGTATTGTATCAAGACATTCAAAGATTATGGTCTCTATTCTGTTTACATTCTGGAAATGATGGAGACATCAAATAAGCCAATGCTAGACTCATCAAGATTGAAAAATATATATTTTCTGTAAGACATACTGATTCTCTTTTTACAGTTTGATATTTTTCTGGTGAGTCTTTGAAGTTAGAAAGTCCTATAGCAGCAATCATGACCATCTTTGCAAAATGACATTCTCCATCCCATAACCCAAATATCAGCACAAAGTAGAAAAACATCTACTGTTTCAGAATGCAAAAAGGTCAACTGTTAGTCACACATAACACAGGAAAATTTTTGGGGCAGCAGCCAGTATAATGATTAGCTTCTACTGTACAAGGCTGAGTGATTCTTTCTCTCCTTCTTGGACAGCGGACAGAAATAGAAGCTTTGCTTTCTGTTCCAAGGCTGAATATGTCATTATCAGATATAAATTCTTTCAATGATCTAAGTATAGAATTCAGTTGACATCTAGGCTACTAAGTGTATGAAGAATATTTCTGTGAGGAAATAAACGGAGCGTAACATCTGAACACAGAAGTACTTACTTCGAATTTGTCTCTTAATTTCCTTCGAAGAATCTAGCCAGTTCTGAAAAAAAAAACCCCACAACCAGCATTTAAAATCATTTCACACTGACGATGGCGAAATAATTTCATACAGTGCAGTTAAAGTTTGTATTGTTCAGACATCTGTTCTACTTTAAAATAACCAAGAGAACTGTAAAATGGAACTTGTGTTTTTCTAGCAAGTCTCCCCACCCATGCACATAAATGAAACTGTGTAATGTCACTGCCTTCATGGCTGTCTTACTGCTTTAGACTATTTATGACCTGTAATTTTAAAAGAGGACAGTCTTACAGTGGAGGTGGTCTAGCAAATTATATTTGACAAATGCAATTATCTCTCATACTCCTTTTATTGACATAAGCAGACTTTTCAGGAATGGCTATGTAATCTCTACATGTCTGTGCTTACGCACCAATATAAAGTTACTTAACACCTTATTTCTCTTGAACTCCAGAAACTTATCACTCCCATTGTTTGTCTTAAAGTGTATACATTATAGTTCTGATAACATGCAAAGGTGCTTAGAAAAACCTAATCAAATTTCATGTTTTTTTCCTGACCCTCCCCCAAAACAAGTTCTCTACAAACAGATATTATGTTAACACTGATACACTGGCAAGGTTCAAATCTAGATGAGCTTTATTTTAGGCAACACACATGAAGTCAGTTTTTCATATTTAGATGCCTCACTGCTAAATATGTTCTATCCTCAATACCAGTAATATTTTTCTATAACCTGTGCAACCTATTAAATAGCTTATAGCATTTCAGTTACTATTGATACATGTAAAGAGGCTTTTTTGTGACTGATCATCCAAAAATATAACTTTAGGAAGTGAGACTAAGAAATCAGTAATGTATATCCATTAGTAACTCAAGACAATCCTGTTTACTAATTTTACCCATAGATGTTAGAAAATAGATTGAGTGAGAGACTAGAAACATAAGCCTTTTAACTGCAGTTACCGAGAATTTACTTTGTACAGTGTTTAAATCTTTATTTCCCATGGCCAGATGCACATACACAAGCATATACGTGGAACAAACACACATGCATACAGCCAGCCTGCCAGCAGGACAGCACATTTCAAAGAGAGGTGTGCAAAGTAGGGAAGAATTAGCAACTAACTTGTAAGGTGAAGGACAGCATTTGCATTTCCACAAACCATTGCACATATTAGCAGCTCTGAAGTCAGAGGGGACCTCAGTGACCGCACAGACGTTACTAAAGGCAGATCTGTAACGATGTTTCTTGCCTAACCTAGCCAAGCAGTGGATACTGGCTATAATGTGACTCACCTTTCTACCAAACTCCAGATGTAACAATCCTTTTCCAATACCATATCCTTCAGTCTTTATTACAGGCTTCTCCACCTGAAGTCAAATTTATTTCAAGGAGACAAAACATGCTAGGCTACAGTTTTATGGCTCTGTGCGGATTAGGAGAATGTGGAACTATACGGTTTTGCACTAGTGCAACACCTTAATGTAGATCACCTCTGCTGATAAAGGATGTGGCTTCTATGAATATAAGCCAAAATACTAAGTTCCTTGTTGTAAATGACCTTGATCCAAGTTGATTTCACCACAAATGCAGCATGTATATAGTAGACGAATACTGTTTAGAAATTAAATGCAAAAAACCCTTATCATTTTTATAGATGTAATTAAGAGTAATTTCACATTTCTTGCTTTAAGAAGTCTGTGACCTCTACATGTCATATCTACTATAATTCTTCCAGAAATGCACAGGCCATGACATCATTACAAAGGAAGACATATAAAACACTGTTCCAGAAGATCCAGATACCATTTATTCTGCTTAAGTCTGAAAAAGTGCTATCTGTGGAAGAGCCTTGACATGGAAATGCCTTGGAACACAACAGAAGTCTTCAAATAATATTAGCTGAGACTTGCTGTGGCTACAGTTATCATCCTAGGTTTTCCGTTTTGGCATGAATTCCATTCCAAAATGATACACAGCCATATTCTTCCAATTACAGAGATAAGTAGAAGTAGTCGAAAGTCTTAAATTTTAGATAAAGTATAGTATAAAGTAAATAAACAAGTATAGAATATATCATGGTATAACTACAGCAGAAAACTAGATTTCATGAGTATATGTTGCTTTCGGTGCTTTATCTTTTATCACTATAAAATAGAAGAAAAGAACATACAATACAGAACATGCTGCAAGATGAGAAGAATAATCCATTCTTTACAGAAATTATACAGTTCATTTTCTGATTTTCCAAACCTGGAGTAAGCCTATTGAAGCAGACTTTGCCATCAACTTTCATTATTGTTCTGTCAAATAAAATCAGATGCTTATATTCCATTTATAAGCATAATTACAGGGGTGGGTTCTTTTGCATCTGTGCCTTTTGTTACGGATAAAACAAACACTGTTGAAAGAATCTACCCTGAAATAGACCTCTTAATGCAGAATAGACAGGTCTGTCTTTCAAAACAGAAGACAAAGTGCACAGACACTACTTTGCTCCAGTAGGCAGAAATCTATTTGTTTAATTCGTTAATGGTAAGGTTATAGATGAGACAAAGTAATGAATTGTCAAAGAACAACAAAATGTTCTCCACCAGTACAAAAGTATTTTGTACGAATCCAGAAAAGCAGCATTTCCAGCTGGTGCCCAGAACATAAGAGCAGAAGCTTTCTAACACTTCTGCAGACCAATTACAGTGTGAATGGAGCATTCATGAACTTTTGAGGGTATATCCAATGAAATCACTAACTACACTCTAGACCAATAATTTAACATTTGCAGAACCATGAAAGAAATCATTAATGAGTAATTTGACCTAAATAGTTTTAAAATGTGTATTAAAGCTAAGAAAAATCAGTCTGATCTGAAGACATAACATCTCCCCCAGCTGCACAGAACACCCATACAGAAAAGTTAATGGGACTCCTCCTCCAATGGTACCCCGATGGTGCATTAGGGAGCAGCTCTAATTCAAAAGAGTGCCTGGCATTCAGTTTCTACACCCCACAGCTGCCATCGAGTTCAACAGCTGGCTCATAAATGGGTGGCTGTGACGAGTGCACAAGAATGAGAAAAACACATCATTCAGCATTTATTACTCACTGGCCTGGAGGTCAGAGATTTGTGGCATTTGAATCTGAAGAGACAACAGTCATAACAGGAGAAAAAAATGCATCAGAAAGAACTGGTACTGAGATGGAAAAAGAATTCAAACTTACTACAGAGTTGGACAAAAGAGAAGGCCCTAAAAAGCCAGCAAAAGTCCGAAGTCCCCAGGCTTTCTTTGGCAGCTATTGCTGAACACAAATGATCAGCCCTCTATACCTCTATTAATCAAATCAAAACATGAAATGTTAATTTTTTTTTCTTTTTGTAAAAGAATGAAAAAAATTTAGACACTTAAAAGTCCTAATACAGGAGCACAGGATTTATTAAGAACATACCATAAATCTTTTGCATACTGAAAACAATTTAAACTGTCTTCATCCATGTATTAAAAAAATCCCTATAATAACAAAAATGAGTGCTCCAGTCTTACTGAGAACATGTTGTGTAACCATATAATTTCAAACTTACCAGCATGAAAGAAATCGCAGCTGGGGAAGGGGAACTCTCTCAGCACACAACCAGTAATTTTGCTCTATTAAGACACTGCAGTAGCTACACTTCACGTTATTACTTTAAACCATAACTGGTCTAAGAACTTCCAAATGTGGTGTTGTAAAAAAGCAGTAGCTTTACATCAGGTAACTTGAGTGACAACAGCAGTAAAAATAAACACACCTATACAACTGTGCACATGTTACAGTACAGACCACCCAACCCGTAAAAGCCTATAAGCCGTTAGCCAAGTGACTGGTTCATGCCAAAGCCCATGCTTTCAAATTCTTTGAAAACCTGGGTATTCCCACTCATCTGGCAGTCACAACTTAGGCTGCAGAGGCGTAGTACCATCCACATAATGGCACTTTGGGTACAATCTGAAGCACATGGGCTATCCAGCCAGGAAATATCTAAAATAAACCCCTCCTTCACTGTTACTCACTGGCATTCAAAATCTTGTAGTTTGGGCAGTTCCACATAAATTAAACTCATGCCTGCAATAGAAGGTAGGAGGTGGGAAATGCATATCTGCTAGGGAAGACTCTTCTTTATCTTTCTCCAAATAACACTAAGAACTTACTGGTATGAAGAGGACAAAATGCAACAACTGTGGGTTTTTTAGTCTTCAAAACAAATTAGACCAGATTTCTCCAGAAATTTTCAATTAAAAGCCTGCAGCTATCCATAATTCAGGTGACAAGTGGTCTACCCTTCTTTCTAAGAGAGTGCCAGACTTAGCCTAGACATACAAATAATCAAACCACAGAGACCCTGTTATCCAGATACAGTCATATATTGCACAGTAGCCAGATTCAACAGTTTCAGCATTTTCCTAATTTTCTCCTTGCTGCTTATATTTCTAGGTAGTGATCACAGAATGCTAATTATTGGGGAAAGAAAGCAAAATCAGACAATCATTTCTTACTAGAGTGTCAGTAAGAACAAAACACTAATGAAGAATGCAACAGTCATTATCATGTACATATATGAAAATTTGTAAAATAAACACCAATTGCACAAGACCAGAGCTGCCCTAATAGCTTTGGAAATCAAATTAAAATTAAAAGCTCACAAATCATCAGCAATAGGCACACAATCCCTGATTAACAAGCATCAAATGCTTTAGATTCAAAGAACAAAAAGAAAACCCATTTAAATGGAGAAGTTTAGGTAGAGTACCTCCTTTCCCCTATCCACAACCAGATGTTCCTTCCTTTTCCTTCTCAGACTTTGAAAGACATCTGAGTGAATGTTCCAAGGAATATAAGTTCAACTCTGATAATCAATCTGTATTTGCAAGCTAAGTGCCTAAAGCAGGCCTATAGTTTTTTCCTTAGCTGAAGATCTAAGCAACCCACTGGTTGACGTGAGTTTCTGAGGAAGCCAGAACTGGCAACCATATTTCAGTAACTGTCCTTAACCAACCTCTGTGCCACACAGGAGCCTAACCAGTTTGAACAAGTAACTTCACATCATTTTTAGTATGCCATAAAACCTTGGAATTCCACTTCATGTGGTAAACAGACTATAGCTAGTTATCGGTGATAACTACATATATACACATAGAAGCACATATGAAAAACCAGATGGGGTCTTTTTAAGGTGTGGTGCTCAATTCATCCATTAACATGACTGAAAAATACCACCAAATCTGTTAGTCCAACTAGAAGTACATTAGAAAAAACAAAAAATTTTTAAAAAGAAAAAAAAAGAGACATACTCTGCACCAATCTAGACTTTCACCTTTATAAATTCCATGGATGTTTTTAAGCTTAAAATTAATAAAACAGGAAGTCCAAAGCCTAATCGTTACAGACTTAGGGGCAAGATGTCCTTCATGTTCCTCTTCAAAGCATTACTCAACATATATGAGAAAAGATAGTGAAATTATTGGAAATTCAGGTAGAAGATTAATTTTTTGTATTATTTATCATCCACATTTTTTTTTATGGGTTTTTAAAAAAAATGTAAAAAATTAAAGTGTTCAGAACTTTGGGGAGTTGTCAGACATTTAAGACAAAAGTTTTAGTTAAAATTTCCTGTATGCACTTGCAGGTATGGCGTACTGTTTGATTATAAAGCCTAGCAAATACTCAATTATTTTTCTCAAAAATGCAGATATTTTAAATATCCCTCTACTCCAAATAATAAATGAGGACTTTGTTAGGTATCTTCACATACACATCAGTATCTTGCACACAATGCAAGTTTTCAGCAGACTAGAACTGACATTTTGCAATAGTTTACTCAAATGTTTCTAATGGTATACATTTAATACAATGTACCTCACTAAACTACTGAAGTCAGTAGCAATGCAGAAAAACAAACAAATAAAAAACCCCCCATACAGGCTTACCTTCTGTTCTGAATTCTCATAAAACAACAGCCCAAAATAGTCCTTTTCCAGTAAATTGAGATGTTCACACACTTTGTCAAACAGCACTTGGCCTTTTGCTCTTTTCTGAGGGAAAAAAAAAATAAAATCACTATCAGTAAATCCTTACTTACAGGTACTATAATTAGATGGTATTAGTCAGGTAAATTTCAAATGCCAATAAAATAGATTATAAAGCTGTAGCTTTCTTATGATATTCACCATACTTCGAAAGCTACGCATATCACTGACAAAAATAAAGACATATCATATTTTTCAGTTCATCAAAAAAGTTGACTGGAATGCACAAGGAAAATTCAGTAGCTAAACTGATTGAAATATTTTGCACCATTAGGTGTCACTAAGTAGTTCTTAGTTTTTCTGGATCTTTATTTTTAAAATAACAGATGACTTATTCATGTGAGCCAAATTTTTCTATATTATTATCTTCTAAAAATTAATACACTTCCTACAGTGTTAAATTCTGGTAATTTCTGCATTTATAGCAGTTTGGCATACAACTCAGTGACTTCTATGAATCACGTGACATGAACTCCCAAGAAAAATAAAGTATGTTATCATCTTCAAGAGACAAGAAGAACAAGCAGACCACTAAAAGTCGGTGATCAGACCAGTAGAAGTAGCATACAAGTATAAGCAGAGCATAAGCAACGTGTTTAGCTGTCTACACTGCAGAGGTTTTGAGGGGTAGAAGATAAGAGGACTGCCTTCCTTCTGTAGATTTATGAACTCTCTCGGTACCCAAAAAATCCACTGGATAATCAAAAATAAAAATAGTCTTAAAGAAGTCTGTTCTTCCTGAAAACAAGATTTGTGGAAGTCAGTAACAAAAAAAAAAAAATTACGTTGTAATTTGAGGTTAGTTTCAATATTGTAGTTCTACTTCACACTAGCAATCGAAGACACTCCTACAAAGGCTGCATGCTGTAGCTCGGTGTTACTACAGCTTAAGCAAATAGCAATTAGTCCTCAGGTGTTATCTCTTCTTCTGGTACATGGCACTGGGCACAAGGGCATCCCATATCTTCCTACTGCTGGTAATGGAAGGCAGGCCCAGGCCTTATTTCTGTGTGCCAGGTTTTAGGGAAAAGATTTGTTGTACTGGAGATGGCAGCTGCCAGGAGACAAAGTTTTAAAGCAGATGGCTCACAACACATATGCAGGGGTGGGGAAGATGAGAACTTCTTTCCACAGTTAAAATCTGACCATGAATAGCATGCAGTCTCCCGGTTTGAGCCAACCCCTTCGTGACTGTTCTGCTATTTGTGGCATTTACCAAGGCCACAACATGGCATTTTCAGAGGCCGGGCAGCTTAGAGGAATTTTTGCATTTGCTTATCCTACAGATTTCAGTGGATGCCATAGAGCACTGCAATTCCTCAGACACACCACCAACTGCCCCTGCGTCGGCCCCGGCGACACAGCAGCCATTGTCCCCACGGGCACCGGCCGAGGCCCACAACATCCCCAGCTCCGCAGCCGCCTGCCGCCCAGCTCCACTGCGCCAAGCACTGAGCCCAGGAGGGAGAGTGGGGGGGAGAAAAGGAGGCATGCCCCGAGCAAACAGGGGAGGCATTGTTGGTTTATTCCCCCAGAATCCAAAGCTTTATTTATTCAAGATTGCATTGTTCAGCAGACACTACAGTCCCGAGGATCAGAAAATTTTCGAACAAACACGTATAAACCGGGCACGTTTAGTAGCCCAAGCATCACAGCAAGGAAGTGGAACTTCAGACGTCAGAGTCACTTTTGACATAGGGAGCCGTTTGGTACTTTCAAAAATTTTACTCTTCAGAAAGTCATATAACTATTTCCTCTAGCAGTCTGAAGTAACCACTTAGTTTTCCTGACAGCCTCACCTTCCGCTTAATAAAAAAATCAATTATGTAGAGAAGAGCTAAACTGAAAGCAGGAGAGGGTTTGAAGAATCTCCGCCTGCTTAGCTGTATGTAATAGATATCACTGTTCTCCCTAAATCATTGTGCACGTCAGCAATCACAACTTGCAAAGGCAAGTTCCAGGTACACGTATTTCAGTAAAAGGAAATCTACAGATTATTGCAGAAATAACATATGCTATCACTGTCCGTATCTGGAGTCAGTTGCTAATTACGTAGCTTTTCCTAAAGTTCATAAACTAAAACCCACAGTTAATATCAAGTCTTTGACATACAGAAACGTAAATTGACATACAGAAACAGTCAAATTTGCTGAGCCACTCTCCATCATCTTTGAGAGGTCCTGGAGGACAGGAGAGGTGCCCGAGGACTGCAGAAAGGCCAATGTCACTCCAATCGTCAAAAAGGGCAAGAAGGACGACCCAGGAAACTACAGGCCAGTCAGTCTCACCTCCATCCCAGGAAAGGTGATGGAACAGCTTATCCTGGAGGCCATCATGAAGCAAGTGGAAGAAAAGAAGGTTATCAGGAGTAGTCAGCATGGATTCACCAAGGAGAAATCATGCCTGACCAATCTAATAGCTTTCTACGATGACATGACTGGCTGAGTAGATGAGGGGAGAGCCGTGGATGTTGTCTACCTAGACTTCAGCAAGGCTTTTGACACGGTCTCCCATAACATCCTCGTAGGGAAGCTCAGGAAGTGTGGGCTGGATGAGTGGTTGGTGAGGTAGACTGAGAACTGGCTGAATGGCAGAACTCAGAGGGTTGTCATCGGCGGTGCTGAGTCTAGTTGGATGCCTGTAACTAGTGGTGTCCCCCAGGGGTCAGTACTGGGCCC